GGTGTGCCTCTGAATCCCTGCCTGCCAAAAAGCTCAAGGCAGGCAGTTGGGGGAAGCATATGCTTAAACTGTAACCTCCATGTTAATTCTTCACCTTTACTCTAAATAAAGGCCTAATAGGCTCTTAAATTTAACAAACCAGTTACAGAGAAATTCTAGCAGTCACTATGGTCCCTCTCCTAAAATGAAGAGGGGTAGGGGCAGGGCTGAGTGTCTGCAAAGGTGGCTGTAGCATGAAGAGAGCCTCAAAAAGGCTGGCCTCTGAGGAATACAGAGTATCTTCCATTTTAGCTGCTGGATAGAACAGATTAGCAGCTTCATAATCTCACAGATTTCTGTGTGAACACTAAACATTTGAGGCAGATAAGGCTTAAGCCAGTAAAGAGCATGGGACCTGCCAGAAAAATGGCACATGGCACCTTTCCACATTGTCTTGGAGGTACAATACGATTCATCTGCCACTGTCTCTTATCTCTAGCAACAGTTAGGTACATGCGCAACTAACAATGTTTAAGCTGGCAATAGGATCTCAAACCCCAAGGCAAGCCTTCTCTTGCCTTCTTTCTTGGGCTTCCTTCAAGTTTCAAAGAGCTGGATTAGTAGGCTGCTTGCTTTTTTTTTTTTTGGTGCAAACTATTGAAAAAAAAAAAAAGTGTCCAGTTCTCCTTCATCAGGAAGGCACTGGAGAGAGTAACATGGGGCCCCAGTACTCCATTCATGCTTTTAAGGCTGATTTTATTTGATATTTTTTAATGTTTAACTGCTGTCTTGCAGATTGGAGAAACATTCACTACTGATGACTGCTCTCAGACATGCCAGTGCACAGAAAGCTCCACCGTCTCCTGCTCTAACATAGTGTGTGCATCTGATGAAATCTGTGGTGTTTCAAACTATACTCGTGGGTGCTACAGAAGTGAGTCAACTCCTAACCCTATTGCTTTGTGTTTGGTGCGAAGAAGTCTTGACTTACTGCTTTTAGGGCAGCAGAATTCATCACTGAGTCTGGGATAATTGCAACAGAGTCTGAACAGAAGAAAATCCCATCATAAATATACCAGGGATCTTGCTGTGATGTTTCATCTTAGAAACAGTGTTTCTTTCCTTCACTCTTGTTGTCAAGTGTGAAATAAAGAACGGGCCTTACAATATGGAGCATGTCTAGCATACGTTAGAGTCAGTGTAAGCTAACTAAGAACTGTTCTCTCACTGTTAGATCATCTGAGATTCTGAAGTGTTTCTTCTTCCTTTTTGCTAGGTGGGCCATGTATGCCAAGTCCTTGTCAGAATGATGGTGTTTGCTCTGAGACTACCAGTGATACCTCTTTCAGCTTTTCCTGTGAATGTCCAGAACTGTACACAGGACTTAACTGTGAGGCTGAACGGATAGGTAACAAAATTATTTTGGATTTCACTGGCAGCATAACACACACAAAGGCAGGCAGGTGTTAGATCAGATTGGGACCTGATGATATCTTTTAATGGGCACGTCGTGATGTAATCAAGGGCAGGGCAGAGGCTGACCTTCCACTGCATGTAGTAGCAGCCAAGTCCTTGACACTATTCCCCTGAGTAAGGATTGGCCCTGGTACCACAGACTAAGTGGGCACGTCTGTACTGTTACATCAGTCTGTTTTGGCCAGACCTACTTCAGAAGCCCGCAGCAGTCCCCAGCAGTTCACTTTGCCTCCATGTCAGCTCATGCTCTGGCTCATGTCTGAAATAAGCCTCAGGCATGAAACTGTGACAGAGGGTAGGGGTCCACTTCAAAGAAAATATTCCAAAATGCCACATGGATCCTCTTGGCTTGAGCCATGGAGGAGCCATGTTTGATTAACTTTTGCCTGTCTGCTGGCACCATTAGCACAGACAGTAGTGACAACAACCAGATGCTATGTTTGCACTTAACAGAGGTAAGTGGATTTAGAGACCGGTTTTGAGAGCTAACGTAACAGAATAAACAGCTCCACTGGGACAAGTGTCACAGAGAAATGGCCTGGACTCTCCTGCATGGGAAGCCATCCTGTAGCTACTGGTTGTTTGGAATCTGCATTCAGTTAGCAAATAATATGTTTATGTACTTCTGTCTGCCTTTGGTGGGTGAGAGCGTGTGACCATGCAACCAGAAAGAAGGGGTCAGAGGTCAGACACTCCAGAAAGCCACCTTAGCCAGAAAAGAGAGTATAAACCAAGCAGACAGGCATGTCTATTTGACGCTTGAGAAGAAGCTTCTGCTTGCAGTAGTTAGCTTTCACTGACAGGGCTCCTATTTCTTCTTCAGATGAAACACCTTTCAAAGAGACCAAGGACAATACGGTTGCCATTGCTGTGGGAGTTGTGGCAGGTGTTGTTGTTGTCCTCATTCTCATCTCCTCTGCAGTGTACCTGTCCAGGTAAGGCCTTTGCCAGCTCTGCTACTTTCCGCAGAGACAAAACACATAAACACATTTTCTGGCACGTCTGTACCCCAGAACTCCTGCTAGTCACAAAACGGCAGGACCGGAAAGGAACCAGAGCATTCAGGGGCTCATTTGAGGAATGTGAGGGAAAACTTACCTTTGTCTGTAGGAATCAACATATGCCATTTCTATTACATAAGGCCTATGCATCACTATTACAAAATTTAGGAATCTCCAAAATTCAACTTCATTCATGCTCACACCACTGTTTGGCCTCTCACTACAGTTAAGAATAGAAATTAAAGCTGGTTTTGGTTTGCTTTTTTTGGGACAGAAGGAAGAGGAAGAAGCAGCATTCATTGGAAAGAACTGACAAAACAAGGGATTCATCTTTCAACCAGTCCAGAGATGCACTAGATGACAGTGTATATGCGCAAGATTATGGCTGCATAGTGAACACTGCATTTGATCAAAATGAATCCCAAAGTACCTACTTGTAGTTAACAGTTACTTTTTCCCATTTATTTGTATTACTTTTCTCTTGTATTAGAAATATTATTAAAATACTTTGAGAAGAAATAATACCAAATAAAACATTGCATTTGCTGAAGACCTTTGAAATCACTCTCTTAAAGTATCTAGGACCTTGTGTTGTAGACCCATATTGAAGTGAAGGACTCCTAACTTACATTAGAGACTATGTTATTTTTGCTCCTCTCCTGGGAAGGAATGTCCAGTCGGGGAGAGAAATATATGTGAAGACACCTAGCTCATCTGGTGACAGGCGTAGTAAAGGGATGACATGCTCTCCCCCTTGGGAGTGCTGGGCTGAAAGAGCCAATTGAATGACAGCTGCCTCCTTGTGATCAGGGTGGAGTAGATGAGAACAAAAATTGTCATCATCCCTGTGGCTGTGGGTGCTAAGCAAAGCATAACAGACAGCCCCTGAAGAATGAGATCCTGTTAATTGATTTCTCATAAATTCTCCTTGGGGTCTTTTCAAATTCTGAAGCTGCTACATTGTCACAAGCATGGTTAGAGATCTGCATCAGCTCAGTCCTGAACCCGTGCTAAGGACCCCCAAAAGCAGAATATCAAAGCTGCTTGTGGCAAGGCCAAATAACATGTAGTGTCTGAGACACCCACCCCATGACAGACCACTCTTACGTAGCTTGGCGGACCGAGGCCTAGGCCTTGTGCCAGCCCTAAACAAATTTCCAGTGCCATGAGTGAAGCCTTTGAGGCATAAGTGAAATTTCATTATGGTCTCTGATTGTTTTCCAGTTCTCTGCAGGTTCCCTCTTGATTATACCAATAGTGAGGAACAGTGCAGGCTTCCCATTGTTTCTGCCATAATGCCAGTTATTATTAACTTGCCCCTTCTCCCTTCCCTTTCCCTTGTACCCATAAACTCATGCATGCTATTAGCCAGAAAAGTATTTGTAACCTCTATGAGCAGTTAGGTGGATAAAAGGAATGTTACTCCAGGCCATTCAAGAACATGCCAGCTGTCCATACATGAACAACACACAGCTATTGAGGAGTGGACGTGAATAGAAAGGGGCTTGCAGCCTCATTATATAATGAAAATTAATCAGTGCAAGAGACCTATTCTTGCACAAATGAACTGTCAAATTCACACTGGAATTTCACAGTGTTTATAAAAGCATCTTTCCTGCCTGTTCAGCAGCAGCTTCCTATTGCTCTCTCACACTTGCTAACATGGCAATTCTGTGAGTGTCATGCAGTGCTGACCATGCTCACCTTCTGTTGAAGTCGGTGGGAGCAAAGGCCAATTTGTATCCTGCAGGTTCACAGCCCAAGCACTTTCAAGCAACAGGGCCCGTATGTGCCCATGTAAAGCAGATGCCTGGGTTTCCATGGATACCCTTTCTGTTTCAAGAATTCCCTTGGTTTTCCACTGCAAAGCCTTGTAAATACTTCAGACCTGAAACAGGAGGTGCTACACAAAGCAGAACCGCAATTCAGTGCGTCACTCACTGAATTAACTATTGCATGTCAAGAGAAGCCAGAAAGGGACTAACTCCATAAAGTGTTACTGTTGTCTGCCTCTAACAATGCCAGGTCAAACAGTGAGGCTACCAAGAGGTACCACATGTTCTGTACCTTCTGCTGCTGTTTAATCTTTTCATCTTCCTATAATCATCTACCTGCTCTCTCATCTGACTTTCAAAATGCCGAGCTTAATTTAATACTTAGTTCAACTGACCAAGAGCACAGTTTCATTGACAGTGGCCACCTGCCCTCCTTTTTAGCGTGCTGCACTGGCAACGGCAAAGGAGACAGCCATCTCTGCCTATCCACACTCAGGACGTCTGTGCTCTCCTGCCCCTCAGCTGAGAAGGCTCATGCTAGGCACAATCAGCTGACAGCATGAGACACTTTCAGTGTCCTGAAGGAAATCCCTCAGCCACAATATGAAAGACATGACAAGCCATCCTAGAAATCTCTTTGCCCTAAAATGGCAGTTTGAATTTACTCTGAGCTCCACCTCCTTTACATCCTCTTGACAGCAAAGTGAAACAGCTGCTCTGCATCACCTCTCCCTCTCTAAAAATTTTCCAGTAAGAGATGCTCACTTACCACTCAGCCCTGTAGGACAGCTGTCCCTGCTCCACACACCAGCACCCACACCTGAAGCTGGCAGGGGCAAGAGAGGTGTGACACTAGCTCCTGGCAAGGAGGTGATTGCCCATGTTCTCCAAGGACAGGAGGAGCTTTTTCCTACGAGACAGGAATTTTTAGAAACACCCTCCAGGAGGTGAGTCTCACCCAGCCTTGCAGACCGGCTGCTCTGCTGGCAGGCAGCTCCCTAAAGACAGCACAAACACAACCCACCCCAGAGCCTGCCCAGCTCCTCCCTAT